AGCACAGTATTAATGTCTGAAAATAAGCTGCTTTAAAGTCAGCATCAACCATAAACTAAATCTGTCTTTACTTTTAATAATATTTCTGTATTTATTTCATATTTAGTCAGTCATACACTTAGATCTTATCAGTGTTTATAAGAGGACATGTTAAAACACAGTTTAGTTGAAGTTAAACATGAAATGTCAAAGTTCATAACAAGTGGCCCTTCGGGGGCCACCATAACGCTCATGTGGCCCTCGGTGAAAATGAGTTTGACACTCCTGCTTCAGATAAACACTTCTGTTATTCACTGCAGGTAGAGAATGCCAAAACAGATGGTATTTTGGGAATCTCTAGTTGTTTTTGTTATTTGTATATATTATTCGGGCACTTAGCCTCTTATTCTTTGTATTTGTGATCAAATACAAASTTTGGTGAACTACTGCATACAGCGCCTGGGATGTCACAACACAGATAGTATGCTGCCATATTTTTATTTTAGTAAGTAAAAACTTTTGTGAAATCCTAATCTTTTGTTTCCTTTTCTCACTATCACAAGTCTCGTATCAAAAACACTGCATAGATATAATTTTATGCAGTTTTTATCAGCCTTATTCACGGCTATAGTGCTATATTAAAGATCTGTTTAACTGACACTTGCTGACACATATGAGGAGCTAWTTTTAGTAACCCTGACCAGCGCTATTGAATTGATCTCCCATGCATAATTTAGTCCCTGATTTGAAGACGATCTTTCAAAAGCATTTCTGCGACAAATGATTAAAAAAATGGAAACTCTCTCTGAGAAGTTGAAACTATCATGAAACTGTTTAAACCGGCATATTCAAATAAATCTTTGCAGACTTATTTGGCATGGCAGCCCAGACAGAAGCCATGGTGTGTCGCTGTCAGGTCTCTCTCTGCATAACTAACCTGAGGTTGAGGTCGTTACACCACTGGGATCGTCTGACACTGAGGGGACCTGACTAAACGAGCTGAGAGGCTGACGGGGAGGCAGGTGTCTGTGTTCGCTGCATCAGGAGGCAGCAGGTGAGTGTGCCGTTGAGTCAGAACGAGGCTCCGCAGCACAGGTGGACGTCACCCGGGAGCAAGAGGGAAACTCAACCTGAGTCTACACTGTCATATGGTCATGGAAACACCACAGTACAGATGGTATTTGAGGAACCAACCAGGGAGAGGCGTTCCCCTCTGGGACAGTTGGAGCTCGAGGTGGCAGTAATGGAGCAAAATGAAGACAAACATGAGGAACAATCAGCTGCACTGACAAAGATAAAGGTTAAAACCATTATATATATATA